ATATTTCTTGAGATACGCGCGCGTGTGTATGTATGTGTGCATCTATGATCGAGAAAGATCGATTTATGAAAAAAATAGATTAACGTTGCCATGGCCGCTTTTTCCTCTTGGTGACATTTTTTGCTCTTTTAACGACGTCTTTAGATATTTATCTTGAGGTTAATTCTAATTATAGCTCATTGTTAGATCGAAAGAGAAATTCTCTTCTAAGTTTATCTTTTATCATCGTGAGAGATCTCTCTTAGAAGTGTTCGTTTACTTTACGTGCACTCTGTTTATTTTATATGTATACATTTATTAAATAGAAGGATGTGAATAAGCTACTTTATGTGCATAAGTATGTGGAAAAAAAAAAAAAAAAAAGAAATATACGATGTAGAAGCATTTAACAAATTTATTGTATTTACTTATTATTTTTGTAACTATTTTTAAGGAGTGTTTGTGAATTAATTAAATTCATTTTGGAGAACTGTAATTTTTACTTTTTATATGTAGTATTAAACGTAATGTAAATTTCATAATCATTGAATTAAATAATCATTGAGTTATTAATTTATATATATATATATATATATATATATATATATATATATATATATATATAGAATATAAAATGCTTGCTTGAAGAAAAAAAATTATACTCAATGCAGTTCAATAAAACAATAAAAAATAAAAGTGTGCAATAATTTAGTTTTTCATTAAATTTCGTAAAACAAAAAAAAACGAAAATTATGATAATATAATTCTTCCATTATTTCCTCTTTATTTAATAGCTAATATAATATACTATATTTTCTTTTTCCCTTAAACAGTTATATAAAGATAAATCAGTCATCAAAAAGTTAATTTTATTAATTCTTTTTTAAACATGATTATAAATAATATTTAAATATAGATGTACAATTTGTATATATCATTATCAATTCATAATTTTTAAATCTATCGCAAGGCAATTATCGTCCATGTTCGTTCGAAGAAAATGTTCAACGTTGATAATTTCAAGTTGAATATAGGTCGAGGAGTTTGTTCTTTTTAGCAAAGATATACTTTGTACGATATTTCCGTTACGAGATTTTACCTTGAGACTTGGTCATAAATCAAAGACTCGATCGAGATGGGATAACATCGAAATTATCGAATGCAGAATGATGGAGGGAGTATGGTGAGTTTGCGAATTCTGATAATCGATGTCAGATTCATATGTATCTATAATTGTATGTACACAACACACATATATATATATATATATATATATATATATTTATATATTTATATGTTCGAATGTTGAAAGAACCGGTCCTTTCATCTTGTATTCCACAAGGACGAGCGAAATTTTTCTTAACTTCTAAATCATTTAAGCGTTAGTATATGTGTGTGCGTGTGTATAATATATATATATATATATATATATTGTTTTTTCTTTATCGTTTTTTTTTCTTATATAGCTACATTGGATCGTTTCTATAAAATTTTATATATTTTCTACGTTATTAATATAACGTTAGGAAGCTTTAATAGCGATGACTCGTCAACGCCATTTTGGTTCTAAGCGAGAAGAGTCATCGATCGACGGTTTTGTAGCGAGATTTTTATAAAAAGCAAACTCGTGCAACTTAGTTATAATACGTACTTACATCATCGACTTCTCGAGAATGAAATGATCTCATCGTTGTCATCATAATTATATTCATTTTCGCGAAAACGTGGTTTTTTCATTTTCTCTAAGAAGTTCGTTGCTCTTTATGTGCTAGTCTTCTTTAACGATTCAAGATAATCGACTTTGTCAAGAAGTTATGGTAGATCTAGGAGAGATTAATATCTTTTTTTTTTTTTTTTTTTGTTCGATCATCTCTATAATACTTGTTCCTTATCGGGATTCTTGCTTGTATGTACTTATAGGTATATATTTGCGCGCATGCACGCGAGAAGATAGGGAGGGGAAAAGAGAGAAAGGGAGAGGGAGGGGGAGAGAGAGAGAGAGAGAGAGAGAGAGAGAGAGAGAGAGAGAGAGAGAGAGAGAGAGAGAGAGAGAGAGAGAGAGAGAGAGAGAGAGAGAAAGAGAGAGATACGTGGTACAAAATATACGAAACACGTCATCGAGTAGTACGTATCTAGCTACATTTGGCGTATCGCTTATGTACTGACATTACGTAATATTCAAGTCGCGTTGAAAAAATGTTGATACGCGCTTGTAAGACGAGTATGAAAGATATGAGTAGTAGTATATGCACATACGAATGCATATTTGTATATGAGTTTGCTTCGAGTATAAGCCATATCTGATGCATGATACATAATTTCTTGTATCAGTTTAGTTTCTTTCTTATTCTCTTTCTTTCTTTTTTTTTTTTTTCTTTATTTTCCTTTTTCTTTTTTTTTTCTTTTTTTTGTTTAACTTATTTTATATTTTATTTCATTTTATATTTTACTTATCTTTTCTTACATTTATTTCATTTTATTTGTAGACGTTATATATAAAATTTGATATAATTACGAACGAGTGAAGATCTTAATAAAATATTTTATGTGGCATTGTTAAAATGTATTATCTAAACAAATTTTCTTTAAGTTTTGTATATTTCTTTCTTTTTAACAATCCATATATATATATTTATATTTAATATATATATATTAAATATAAATATATATATATTAAATATTAAATATAATATATATATTAAATATAAATATATAGGAATGTTATTATAATTAATCATTATACGTAGAAATGTATATACATGAATATGTGAATTTCTCAGAATAGTTTACAATGCATCATTTCTACCGGATTAAATGAAAAATTTCACACGAATTATGATAATAAATGCTTAGCGCTCGAATAAGTAGGTTTGGAAAGAAAATTAAAAATTAAAGGAGAGAAGGAAAGAAAAAGAAAAGAGTAAAGAATAAAAGAAAAAAAAAAAGAAAGGAAAGGAAAGGAAAGGAAATGAGAGTACAGCAGGAACAGATCGGCGTTGCGATCACTGTGCAATGCCGTTACGCATTGAAACGAGATCTTATTCTTATCATTCGACCGCATCTGCGTGTCTTGAAACCGGTATAAATCGATATAGTTTGCAGTACGACACTGTTAAGCTCTCTTTTTCGAATGGATCGAACGTCTTCTACTTACCTATCTACGAATTAATATATTTTATTATTAAATATTTATGAGAAAACAATGAAGATTCGAAATCTTTCTTGATTTCTTTGCCTTTCGTGAGAACTATTTTCAAACAACGTCGAGATTAGAATTTATTTATCAAGGGAGAAAAAAAAATGTAGAGCTTTTTATCGCGAGAGACACGCTCAAAATTTTGATCAACGACAAGGACTTTCCTTCGAGTTCTTTTTAAGTGACGTATAATGTATATTAATTATACAAGTATTGCACGAACTGTTATCGTCGTAAAAGGAATTATCGAGATTTTTCTAGATTCGATTTTAGCATCTTAAAGATCGTAAGAGAAAAATCGATAAATTGTTGAATAAAATATATTTTAAATAATAAATTGAATGTCGTTGAGGATCAACATGACAGAGTCAATATATTTTAGACTTTATTTAATAAGGTTCTTACGATATACTTTTTATGACATTAGGAAAACTGAAATTGTATTTTCCCATGAGAGTAAAGTCTAATGGAAAAAAAAAAAAAAAAAAAAAAAAAAAGAATTTCATGGCAAAATATTTATGAATTTTTCTATATCTTTTATATACAGAAAAGCCATGAAAGATATTATCGATAAATATATCGATTTATACAACATTCTTTTGGCAGTCGACGTCTTAAAAAAATATTCATCGCTATAAATAACTTTGTTTTTATAATAAAAATATCATATAAAAACATGTATATATATATATACATGTTTTATATATGTATATATATATATATATATACATATATATATATATGCATGTATATATATATAATTGGAAAATATAAAACAAAACGAATAAAGAAAGAATAAAAAATAAAAATTTTTGCGGAACGGTTTGATAAATAAAAATTCATCGCTCTTCCTCGATTCTCGAAGATAAGCCGTTCGCCACCCACACTTAGAAAGGCGTGTCTTTCTTCTTTGGATGATGTCATCACCCACCTCTTCTTTCACTATCGACGACGACCTCAGCGTTGACCTTAAAGCATTCACCCTCGAGCGCTCGAAAGTTCCTCTTTGTCACGCGAACTCTTCCGCTCCGCCAAGTTTGGATCTTGCCGATCGTGGAATATCGTCTTTGACCTGACTGGTCCTCGGAAAGAGAAGGCACTTTTTTTTTCAGCAATGACGGTTATACGAAACCTTGGGGCTATTCGAAGCAATGACGCGTCTATAGACCACCGATCGTGCAACATTTTTTTTGAAATGCTACGTGCCCGGATAGTAACAACGTGATTCATCACACGCCAATAAGATCGTCCTTTCTTTTTTGTCGCCAAAACATTCTTCTTTATTTATTTCTTTATTTTTTTTTATTTTCTTTTTTTTTTTCACTCTTGTTTTTCTTATTCGTTCTTCGTTGAAAGGTCGACATATTTTTGATTTCGAACGATACGAAAAAAATCAGTTATTGTTGATATATTAATTCGTTCGTTCGTTGTTTCCTTCGGGATCATATTTTTCTCTTCAAATTTCAACTTATTCGTAATATTTTACATGCACGATAAAAAGGTTAGATATTGCGGATATTATGTATTTTGTCGATATGATACGTGTAAACTTTGAAAAATTGTTCTTATTCATTTTAATGAACAAAAGCGTCAAAGGAATTTATTTACATCGATAATTACCTACACCTTAGTGATTTTTATTGATATTTGTAATCAATGTTTATGTTTAATAAATTGTAGAATTTAATAGCATATAAAATAGAAATTTAATCATACATACGCAATTTTATATATATATATATATATATAATTAATTCTGATCGTGTACCGATTAGAATTTTATAGCTTTAATTTAAAAATTGAATTAAATCTTTTCGCTCAATGTGCATGTTGAAATGTGCACTCGAATGAATGTATTACATATCTGAGAAGAAAATATTTCTCAATGTAATTTTTTTTTACGAAAAAAATAAACAAACATTGTTGCGATTGCCATAATTAAAATAAAATATCTTTTTTTTTTTATTTTTACCCAATGTTTTTTTACTCAATTTGATAGAATATGAACGGAACACCTTATATATTTACTTGTGCGTATATACGTTCATATATATACACGTATATGTATATATACAGTCATTCCCGTTAGCTTTATCGAGTACAACGATTAAATATTTGCGTTTACTCGGTCTCCCGGTTTTCCGTCCGACCTTCTCCTTCTCTTCACGAGCACGACTCGTAAATCAAAGCTGCGAATACTCGACGAGCCACTTGATCTGTTTCATTAGAATACGTCTTTTGCGTGCGTCTCGATGGTCCTGACCTACATTTCTCTTTCAACATCATCAATCTTGTACGTACTCACTGTATATATACATATGTTATGTACATTTTAGTCAATACAAAAAAAAAAAAAAAAAAAAAAAAAAAAGAAAAAGAAAAAAGAACAAATAAATAAGCAGCTAATAATAAAATACTATTAATTTTGTTTTATAAACTTGTTGATATTCAAAAGTTTATAAATGATAAATCTATAACGACAAGGTTTTCTTTTTTTTTACATCGATTTGCATTTTTACAAATCCTTTTATTATAATTTATAATATATAAAAAAAAGAATAAACATACTTTTTCTTTCTCGTTCTTAATTCATTCATCAATTTATTTATTAATTTATTTGAATGAATTCTCATATCATTTATCAGCATATTAGCATTATCATCATTTATGAAAGTAAATGATCGAAACAGAAAAAGGGAAACATTTTTAATCTCTTAAAAAGGATACTAAAATTTATCTTTGTAAATAAATAAATGATACTTTAAAAGTTGCAAAATTTAGTTTCAGTATTGTTATATTTTTTTTTTTCTTTTTTTTCGTATTCATCATTCATCGAGAAATTATTCAACGTGACGGATTAAAAAGTCTTACATTATGATGTAAATATTCCATATAGAAAGGAAAAAAAATAATATATATATACATATATTTTTTTTTTTTTTCATAAGTAAAGAATCGATTACACGCTCGAAAAACGACGTTCGCATTTCACGAACGCAAAACTCAACCGTTCGTTGAAATTCTCTTCGTCGAAACGGAGCACAGGCACTAATCGCAAACGGAGATACGGGGAAGCGTGCTCACGATCGTGAAAATTGTAGGACAGTTACAAGTTTAAGGCCGGCTAAACTCGTTCCTGATAAGCGTTCAGCGTGGAGGGAACGGTTGCCCATGGTTAATACGTATAGGTGCGTGCTTTTGTGTATATATATATATATATACGTGCGTTTGCGTACAACCTTATATATATATATTTTTTCACTCTTTCTCTCTCTCTCTCTCCCTCTTTTTCTCTCTTTCATTTTCGTTTCTTTAATTCTCTCCAAGCGCGATGCCGTTATGTTAATCTTATGCTACGACCTAACTGTACCGTCCAGCCATTCTCCAGAAGACACCGTTTTTTTTATGTATGCACATATGCGCACGTACATGAGAATAATAATAATAACAATAATAATAATATTAATAATAATAATAATAATAATAATAATAATAATAATAATAATGACGATGACGATGACAACGACGACGACGACGATTCGATTAGCCGATCGAAACGCGAGCGAAATTATTGATGTTTATATGAAGTGAAGGGAAAAAGTCACTGCGATGGCGTCAAGAGAAAACACTGTCTTTGTGTATGAAGAATATTCTTGTTCTCTCTTTTCTTTTCTTTTTTTTTTTTTTTTTTTTTTTTTTTTTTTTTTTTTTTTTTTTTTTTTTTTTTTTTTTTTTTTTTTTTTTTTTTTTTTTTTTATACGGCGCCCGCTCTTAAAATAATATTAGGGAAATAATCAAAAAATGGTGTTAGTTCTTAAAGATCCCCGTGAGAAAATAATTTTTCGATCGAAAGAAATTGAAATATGTATGAGTCGTCTAGTTAGAAAAATATAGCTTCGAGAAAAATGCATATGGCATAATGTGATTACCGTAATTATCATGTATAAATGATAAACACGTAACTCGATCAACGATAGTTTGAAATTCGATGTAACTTACGAGAGGATATATTTTTGAGGTATCAAGGATTAAGAAAATGCGAAAATAAATTTTTTTTTTTTTTTTTTTTTTTTTTTTTTTACAGTTACAACTTTTTTATTTAGGCGAAATGAAAAGAATATTTTTACTATCAGAGATAATTGATCGGTAAAAGAATTTTATAAATATTTATGACTAAGCTTCAAGAATAATGATTCAATCGATTTGAAAATATCAGTGGATTTACAGAGAGAAAGAGTTATGGCATATGTGTGTCATCTATTATGTGTTTTATGACACTACGTTGTCCGTAATTTGAAAATTTTTCTCTCATGGGATGATAACGGCTGTAGTTCGACGTTAAAAAATTACAAAATTTCGTGGTTAACGAACTCGCGCAAAATTTATGCTATTCCTCCTCCCTTCCTCTCCCTATCTCTCCTTTCCATCCTCCCTCGGTCTTCTATATCTAACGTCTGTGGATGTAAAATAAACGATCTGGAGGCACGAGCACCGCATACCAGATTCCACGGTCGAAGTAACTCGCTTGCATTCCTAGAATGCAGTAACTTATAAGAACCTTTGTCAGAAGTCCGATACTAATTATTAAAATTGTCTAACGTAACGAATATGTATAAGTAGATACATATGCATGCACTGTTTGTCAGCCATATCTCTTTTTCTCATTCTGATTCATTTTATTCTCTTCATCTTCGGTTTAACGACAAAAATGAAATTCCAATGTGTAATACGAATGGCATGAAATTATATTACATAGGATACGTGTCGTGGAAAGCGATGTTAAGTCCTTGAAAATTGTGTGTGTGTATATATGTATGTGTGTATCTGTGTGTGTGTGTGTGTGTTTATATATAATATTATATATAAAATAATAAAATATATATAATATAATAAAATAATAAACTATATATAAAATAATAAACTATATATAGTAATAAAATAATAAACTATATATAATAATATATATATAATAATTATATATATTATAAAATATATAATTAAATTATATACATATATATGTATAAATATAAATATATATATAGAAATATATGTTTGAAATGAATTCACAAAAATAATAAAAAAGGGAATGATTATTCTTTTTATTTTTCTTTTTATTAATTAAAATTCGTCATATCGTCTAGATTTTATGATTTTAATTGATTTATCGTTCGTCGTTGATTTTCGATAATATACGAATTATTATTATTATTATTATTTTTTTTTCCCTTATTTTTTTGATCGTATTATACTAATTTTTTTCTTTATACACAATAATGTAATATATCTTTCATCGTATATTTTTCATTGGAATGTGATGTGCTTATGTAAAACAGACAAATAACGTTTTCATGAACGAGACAAACCGCATTCCAAAAATCCAGTTTCAAAACATGGAAATCTAATTAACCTATGAACCAAGTACCGACACAAGATATCTGTGATATAGTGATAGAAATTAAATGAGTTTGATAGGCGCCGATGCGTACGCACGTACTGTGAAACACGTATTATTATAGTTCGACGTATAAGGAATAAAAACCGTATGAGGGTTTTTTTTTGCAGATCCCTTTAATCTTTCGGTGTCGTTCGCCTTTTAACGTTGGAAGCTAGGAAAACGACAGGTATCACGAGGAAAATCCGGTTTTTTAGAGATTGCGTGAGAATGTAAAATGGAAACCCGAGATTCGTTGAGGCTCTTTGCCAACTGTAAAGAGTAATGTACAATGTCGTTATACGTTACTTTCATTCTTTTTCTTTTTTTCCTTTTTTATTTTTTTCTCTTCCTGTTTCTTTTTTACAAGTTACAATTTTTAAAATGTCACTCGAATTTACGATTTTTCTACGATATTTCTTTTTCAAAGTGATAACATCGTACGAAGATATTCTATAATTGTTTGATTATCCGGCATAATGATTTTTAATTATTTAATTAAAATTATATTTCATTGTAATAAGTATATATTCGAATGTTTCGTTTGAACGTATTATTTGTTATTCATTGTTTCTTTTTCTTTTTTAACGCTCGACACTGAAAATTTTGTTACAAAAAGAAAAGGGGGGAAAAAAGAAAGAAAGAAAGAAAGAAAGAAAAAAAATTACACGTTTATTAATATTTATATCTATAAATATAAATAAATGTATGAATAAAAATAATATTAACAATATAAAATTAAGAAATGTTTAATATAAAAATAATAATAATATAATAAAATTAACAATGGTTTTATAATGATTTTATAATCGTTCTATTGTTTATAAATGATATTTATGTTAGATTAATAATATTCTTTGTCGTATCAATAAAAATAATTATAAAAATTACGAACGATCGATCATTAATCACAAGTACCGGTATATCATTACGGTACAAACATTGATTTAAAAAAAAAAAAAAAAAAGATCGAAGTAGCTAATAATGTTCGTGGCTCCACCTGAAGGAGAGTGGCCAATCTCTTTGTAAAGGAGTCTCACGTTGATATTACATAGCATAAACTATAGGTATAGGAGTAAAGCGGTTACGTGTGTTTATGTTTATATATGTGAATATCAGTTAGTGTGTGGTAGTGGAATGGAAGGGGATAAGCAGACGAGAGAAAAGTCAGTCTCTCGTGGACCTTCCGCGGATACGTCAGACGCAAGTTTTATTCTTTCCATCACGATTCTTGTTTCTTTTACGTGATAATTTGTATCATTATTGTGTAAAGAAAAAAAAAAAAAAGAAAATAAACAAGAACATTTGTTTAAAAATCTTTTCGTAATATTCAGTGAGACAGTTTGAGCAAACACAAAAAAATGATTATTTCTATTATTGTTTTAATTCGATCTTTCGTCACGTGACAATCGACATCATCATCATCATCATCATCATTATTTTCCTGTAGTTAAGGGTATAAACAAAAAAGGAAAAAAGAAAAATGTAAATAAAAAATGTTAGAAAAATTTATCGAATCATTCGTACGAAGAAAAAAATAAAGTTCTTTTCATCTCGGTTCTAACGAGTGTAAAAACATACGACATCATTTCAAAAGGAAATAACAAATTATACGGTTTTATATGTTACGTTTGATTCACAAAGGAAAGTTTTGCGTTTTATCGTGATGCATATAAAGACGAAGATGCATTTGAATTAATTTCATGGAATATTATCGTCGAAAGATTTTTATTAAGGATAAATAATATTTTAACGCGTTTTCACGAGAACAACGCCCGTATTGTTTAATCGTAGAAATAATCATTGAATTAATGTACAAATATTTGTATATATTTATCCTACGTGAAAATTTGTTGAACATTAATTTCGAATTAATTTCACATTAACCAAAAATTATCGGTAAATCGAAGAACCGGTAGAGCCCGATGACGAAACATAAAAGAAAGTGTAATTAAGTAATACTCGATGTCGTCGAGTAACTTGAAAGTCGATATCTACGAAAGCCTCGTTTTCCCATCGGAGTTGGTTTCACCTTTTGAAAAGGGCGAGAAAAGATAATCTATATATATATATATATATATATATATATATATATATATATATATATATATATACATATATCTACCCTTTCGTTTACAATAAATAACTTTTTTAATTTTAATAAAATAAAATCGATCCGCGCGAAATAAATTATTAGAGATGTCTCGATCAAATTTATTTCTTTTTAAATTTTAATAGAGAAAAGAGAGAGAGAGAGAGAGAGAGAGAGAGAGAGAGAGAGAGAGAGAGAGAAAGAAAGAAAGAAAGAAAGAAAGACATTTGCCGTTTAATTTCGAAATAGACACGCAATGCAATCGATTGTTCGATCTATTGTTTCGTTTTTTTCTCCGTTCATAATCGATTAATCGCGCTTTGTTCGTAACGTCACCGATGTTACTATTTTGTACGTAGGTATAATAGTGTTCGAGTTTATATAAGAGAAGAGATCTGTCGATCATCGTTGAATCCTCCGATCATTGTGGTATCTCTTGATCATCCTAGAATATCTCAATCTCTCGAGGTTGTTGTATCGTAACCGGTCAGAGTTATAAATAGTTCATTAAAAAATTATTCAGAAATGTAAAGTTCTTAGAGGATGACGATGATGATGATGATGATGATGATGATGATGATGATGATGATGATGATGATGATGATGATGATGATGATGATGATGATGATGATGATGATGTTGATTACGACGTTACGTTTCATTTTATTATTCTTTGTTTTTTCTTTTTTCTTTTTTTCTTACGAAAACATTATGTCGTGTTCCACAGGTATACATGCACACAAACACAGACACACACACACACACACACATATGTATATATAAACGCATAAACATCAATCGGAGTATTATCTCATAGAAAAGGACAATAGAAAATTGCGAAAGTCAAAGTCGAACTGTAAAAGTGCCTGTCATTCGAGGAGTTCTCAGATCAGTGCTCGCAAATCTCATTTAAAATGT